AAGCAGTGGTATCAACGCAGAGTACTCGACAATCGACATCAGCAGCAGCGCAATGCAACCACAACTGGCCACCACACAGCAGAGTGGCAGGCAGAGCTGAAAGTGGCGCGGCATACCGCGTTCTGTGTGTAAGCACCTTTAAGGAGGAAACATTACCTGCGAGCTCATCACAAAACTCAACCAGATGAATTTTGTAGTTGGTCACCACTAGCAAGGTACATTTAGGGAAAAAGGAGGAACTGCATTTTGTGAACAGAAAAGCTTGCCAACAGTAAAGGCACACTATACCATTACTGAGTAGGGACCCTTTTGCTCTCAAAGCACCAACTCTTCTGAAGTCAATTTTTTTCTAACTCGTGTGCTTCAGCTGAAAATGAGAATCATCCAGCAAGCTTGACTGTAGATTTAAAACTACAGTTCTGTGGTCTAAAGTACAAGTACATACAATAGACAACTCAAGCAAATAACCTAATGCTATGGTGACATTTAAAATGGCTCATTTATCAAACACCATCTGATCTCCAAAAGGCATAGAGTTAAGAGATAAAAAGTAACGGTGTTTTGTCAAATTTGTATATTCAGCACTGAATGAAGTCAAAGGAGTTGCATTATTTGAAAGTACTTCAGATAATTATCAAAAACACTCAAATCTTTTAAAATTACTCACATTTCTGTAAAAGCATGAAATTAAAGGTCTTTACAACTATTCTTAAATTTCTTTTGAGATTCTCCTCTTCACAGGATGACAGTTATTGCCACTCCTGGTGCAAACATTTAAGCAGTTTAGCCTCGTTTAATGGCTTGTGATCATTCATCTTCCTCTTGATTTTATTACAGAGGTTTTGAATTTGGTAAAATCAAAGAAACTCATCGTTTTTAAGTGGTCTCTTTTTTCCCCCGTATGTATATAAAAATAAAATAGCAGGGAAGTAGGTTTAATATTGTATAAGCTCTTCAAAAGTTTTCAACACCTTAACTGGCAGCACTAATTTTTCTCATGATACACAGAATTTGTGTGGGTGTTAAATGTGAACCTCTACCTCCAGCCTCCAGCCTTATGTCAGGTGAGCACAGTCAGCAGCATTAAGAGCTCCCTCTGTTGCTGCATGTGGATAATGCAGTTTGAGTTATCCACTGTCTTACTGCAGCACATGTGATTGTGAAAACTCATTTTATGATATGAATGTTTATGGTGCATGTCTACAGCTCACCTTCTGTAACAAAGCTGAAGACGAAAAGACGATGGTTTCTATCAAGATGGTTTTGCTTACAGTCCTCCAACCTGAACGGCTCACAGAACTATCAGATTTAACGAGGCAGAATGGGAAAAATCCCTTAAATAAAAACTGACAGGCCCTTAGCTTCTACAAAATGTGTTTACTGTATTACTTGCCAATGGGTGTGGTACTAAGTACTGACCTTACAGGGTGCCCAAACTTTAGCTTCGGGCCCTTTTCTTTCTTGTTATTTTGAAACTGTAAAAGATGGAAATGCACAAATAAATCTTGCTTAAAATACTACAGAATTGCGCCACCTTTAACTTTATGCCTTTTGGAAATAAGGTAATCTATTATTCCCCTGGCTTAACACTGTTTGATGATTAACAAGTTTGTCAAATTGCATCTTTGTAAAATCCGTAGGTAGACGTATCTGTTTGATGCATGCCTGTTCATTCACAGCTTTATTTTAGCTAAGTGTTGAGCTATATGCAGATACTTTATCAAAACAACACCAAAGCATTAAAATATATGTGAGCTTGTTCTTCTACCAAATAGATATTCTTGTGAAGCACTTGGTCAGAAAGCTGCATTTCCACTTGCTTGCTGCCTAGCAATGCTGATGTTTCACAATATTTACAACATTTAGATTTGACAGCTATGAGCACTTCCACGATATGAAGTGTTGGGATTATCTGGTGAGACCCAACAAGGACTTGTGCTGTGTACAGCAATCTTTAAACTTGCTGTTTCAGCTTAAATTACTTGCTCAGTGGCTTAATTTAGATACTTCGCATGAAACACACATAAACGTGCCAAACGCGGAGAGTGTGCACAGCGAGGCAAAATAGAGGAAAAGAAGCGAAGAAGGGAGGGGGGAGCACACAATAGCAAAGTGCGAGCACAGAAACACGGACAGTAAGGTAAACATGTTAAAGTGGTCTAAATTCTGGCTCTACTTCTAAAGATTCACCCACAGTTCAGTTTCCTTCAAATTGTACAAAACGCGCAAAAATGCACCAAACGTGAAGAGCGTGCATAGCAAGGTAAAAACCGCAACGACGCCTTGGCGCACACAAGCGGAAAGTGCACGCATAAACGTGCAATGAAATCTCTCAGACGGTCGCGCTGTCTCTTTCTCCCTCTCTCTAATCTGAGATACTATAATACAGTATAAAATTTTTATTATTGCCTGCCAGACATACACCACACTACACTTGTATTACAGTCCCCTCACAATACTGGGCATTTCCAGCATTAAAATATAAATAAATTTAAATTTATTCATGTTTAAGTAACTGACACCACTAATTTAAATATCATTTTGCCAATCTAATGCTGATATTCCTCAAAAGAACTCTTAAACTAAAATGCATCCAGTAAGAAGCTTAGGGGAAATTATTGGTAGATTAAGCAGTTAAAATAATGATGTTGGCTTATTGTTTGTTTGTTCCAACAAGGCCAAAAAGATGAAGCCTCTTATGATGAAAGTATGGGAATAAGATTACTCATAACAGCTATTAAAAAAAAAAGATGCTTGCTAATACAGATTTAATATTTTCCCCTAGAACACGTTACAGAATAATTGATTGTGACAAAAAAGTTCCAACGAAAATTGGAAAACGTGTAAAGAGTTTGCTGTCAAAAATGCTATGAACGCAGTACGTTTTTTGCTTGCTCGGTTGTATAAGCTTTCCCTAACCTTTGTATAAGCTACTTCCTTTTCTAGCTCTACACAAAAAAAACATTATAATAAATGGGGAGGGTAACAAAATAAAATAATTAAAAAAATGTATGACATGAGGACATAGTATGACAGGAGGATGCCCAATTCCATATCTCTGATCACTAAACAAATCAGATTTATGCACTGCAACCCTACACAATACTAGTTCCTAATCCATGCCATTTGGCAAGTGTTATGGAAGCTAGAACACACCTGCAATAATATGCAAGATATAATGCATGTGGGGTCTCCTGCATTAAACATAAATGTGATTTCCAACAGTCACTTGGCATCATAAGATTAGAATAGATTGTGGTAAAGCTTACCACCACATACTTCCAGTACACGTTACACCTATTTAATCTCACTTTTAAGATACCACGGCACAACTTGTACAGGTCTGGACATTCCCAAGCCATTACAGGTATTCAGGGTGTTGATGAATGGGGCAGAATCCCAATGAAATGAATATATGCACTGTACATTCCTGATATTAGCAAACCATCTTAGGACATCTGAACTATCAGATAGTCAGAAACCACTTCATTTCTGAAACAGTTTCTCTGATTTTGATATTTATAGTTATATATTTGAGTAAACTAAACATTGTTGTTTTATTCTACAAACTACGGACAACATTTCTACCAAATTGCAAATAAAAATATTATAATTTAAAGCATTTATTTGCAGAAAATGAGAAATGGCTGAAATAACAAAAAAGATGCAGAGCTTTCAGACCTCAAATAATGCACAGAAACAAGTCACATTTTGAGTAAGTTCAATTTTGAGGTCACGTGTAGATGTGCTGTGGGTAATTAACATAACAATAGGGATTACATGCCTTGCAGAGGATTAAGATACCGGTTCCCTTACAAACAAAACAATAAAATAATAAAAAAAACAGATTTAGTAATTCTAGTGTGTCCTTCACCTGAAAAATTATAGACAAACACTGGATAATACAAGCAGTTAACATTTACCCGCACGTAGAAGGATGACTTGATCATCCAATGGCAGTTCAGAGAAGTGCGGGATCCTCTTGGCCCACTCGACCAGTGTGAAGAGTTGTTTGTCAGCTGCCTGGCAAATATTAGTGACGGGATCATTTGGCTGCAGAGGAGGAAATGGGTAGGGAAAAATACAAAAATGGAGAGAAAGAGAGAAAGTTATACTGGGAAGCTGGACAACACACAGTTAGCTACATTTTGAAGCATTCACATTATTTATTTGTTTTCATTAGTGATATAAATGGTCAGGATGTTTAAGGTCAGTCAGAACTTACAGAGCTGGTCCCTGAGCTTCCATCTGTATGCATTTCTGTCTTCTGTTCTACAGACATTTCTGCTTCCAGAATTTTTTCTACTGGCATCTCCTCATTCACCACACTAGTAGATTCCACTTCACCATCTCTCTCTTTGTTCCTTTGACGCTCTTCCTGAACGGCTGCAGCGAGCGCACAAAGCAACATTAAAGACACAAAAAAGTGAGAACAGAAGGGGGACCATGAGATGAGCCGAAATTGACCAAAAAGCAAACTTTTGGAAACATTAAGGCAATAATAAAAGACACACAGAAACACACACACAGGAAGTTTCCTTAGTTAATTAATCTAGACATTTACTTTTAAATGAATACTGGGAATAAGGGGATATTTAAAAATGAAGGGATTCCTTCACTAAATATCTCAACAAGGTTTTCTTAAGACTTTGTCTCCATCTAACTGAACTTTGGGCAACCCCTTCTGTACACATGGAAACATACAATCCTCCTTCCCTCCCTCTTTTCTCCTTACGTCGTTGTCTTTCATCTTGGACCACTACAGAAGGAGAGGGAGGAAGAGAGAATGAAAGGAGACAAAATATGGACAGAGGAGGACATGGGTTACATAAGAATTTCTTCTCCTCTTTTTCTTTCAACACTATATGCCATTTACTCATCATTTTTACTGAGGCCACAGTAGTTACAGATGTACAAAATATATTTTTTGACAAATGTCAGTATATGTCAGTGTCAGTGCAGTATATGTAAGTGGTATATGCATGATGAAAATATATATTGAAAAAAACAAAAAGGGCAAATTTGGATGAAATTCTTCCCAAATGGTTAAAGCTCAATTTGACTTGTTAGGGCTAAGCACTCAAGTTAATTCATGCCTACAAAAAAAGAAGGCTATATAAAGAGGTTGAAGTCTTTCCAGCTAACAACACTGTTCAAAAGAGCATTAAAATTATGTGATATGTGATTAAAGCAGTGGTATCAACGCAGAGTACTAAGTATTTTGTGTTCATGACTTGCAAACTTGTTTTCAGCTTCATATGCTTTAAGCAAACTACAGACCATTTTTTTCCAAAAACATGACTTATCAAAAATTCTGCTTTCTCTTTTTATCTCTTATTAAGTTCCACTCTTGTTACTCTTTCCTTACCACATTTGCCATGTTTTCAATTGCAAAAGTGCAAGTGCATGTGTAATTACCTTCTCTCTTCATGCCCATAGCCAGGCACTTCTGGTAGCGGCAGTATTGGCAGCGATTCCTCTGACGCTTGTCGACCATACATTCCTTATTATCTCTGCAAGTGTAGCTCAGGTCCTTTCTTACAGTACGCTTAAAAAAGCCCTTACATCCCTCACAGCTGTACACACCATAGTGCTTCCCTGAAGAGATTAAAAGAACGAAAATTAGAGCAAAGTGGGGAAACAGCACCCAGCATAACAATGTTGTAATTTATTTTCTATTTCTCGTTTTTTTGCTTATTTAACGGATTCATTCAATCTTGTTGTTTAACTGTTTATTGGCTACAATACAAAAATGACTATCCCTGTATTCCGCAGTTTATCTTTTGGAGTTTGTAGGCTAGTAAGGTTTTATCTGTAAATGTGAGCATTATCTACTTTTTTAGTCTTTAGTTATAAAATAATCATTGTAATCAGTTATGACAAGTGTAGAAACAAATCTGTTATAATATTTGCAATTATAAGAAAACAATCATTCATTAATTATCTTCTGAGAACATTTTTATTTAAGCTGTTCTACAAAGCCTAAATGCTTACAAACATTTAGCCAACAAAAATGTCGTTATAACATTTCTTACTGCTGAGCAGAGCAGCAAATTTGCAAGAAGTTACATAACATGACTCAAGTTTTATTCATATATTCACACTCTAATTTTTTTGTATTTACCAGAAGATCGGTCCCCACAAATTGCACAAAGACGTTTTTGAGAAAGCGTTGGTCCTGGACTGTGACCTGAAAGTGGCTTCAGGCCATATGGTGGTTTTACATCATCTGAACTGCTAACGGCATGCAGACCAGACATCGATACTGTTGAGTTGATCTGGAAATAAAAATACAACAAAAAAAAAAAAGCATTTGACTGTTTTACTTGCTTGTCAATTAAGTGAACTAAAGCTTTTCCCACCTAAATTCAAACCTATTTAAACCAAACAGAACCAGAACTAGAGCTTCTAACACTGTTAGGTTGTCTCCAACGAGAGCTCAGAGTTAACAGACACACAAACTCTGAATTTGTTTTATTTTGGGGCCTTGAGGGAGTAAATACAAGAAATGCTACTTTTTGGAATTTTAGGGGCGTTTCTACACACTGGATCTACACTGGATGCAGATTTACATTAAATTCAGTTCAAACTCTTCTTTGACTTTTTCTTTAGTATACTGGGCTATTAGCATTACCACATTGTCATTAATGCAGCAATTGTACTTAATTAACAGTTTAGGAATTCTCAACTACTGGCTTTAAAGTATTTGGACAAATTAATAATTAGAAATAATTAATTGCCTGTAACCCATTAATCTGTAACTCATGGGAATCAACAAATTCCTTCATTTTTCCTTAATTAAGATATTTTTCCAGGCCTGTATTCCAAGTAAGATCAATTACTGATCTTCTGTTGCTATATTGCCATCAGTGGCATCTTCAAAAAGATACATGCTCAACTATCAGACTATGAGAATTAGCAACTGAATTAGACATTTCAGAACATTCTGTTTCTTTGCCTCAAAAAGCTCAAGCTATTTTCACTTCATGATTCGAGTCAGCATCCACCTCCGACATGCTGTCCTACCCGTTTTGCAGCGTTTACTAAATCTGAGTAGAAAGTATAGTTCTGTACATGCTACAATTCATCCTGCTACTTCCATCAGCGGTCAAATCCTTAATAAAAGACTTGTGTCCCAGTCATTTTGGCAGTTATACATTCCCGTTCCATTACAGTCTCTCCAACATCTGTTTTTATTTTTTTGACGGATCATCAGTGGTTTGAAACTTGAAATATACTCTGTAATTAAATTCATGAAGACGTCACTTTACTGTAGACTCTCATAATGATACTCTTTAAGACTGTTCATGACTTTAAGCAGAATTAAGAAGAATTGGTATTTTTTGCCCCTGAGCTCCTCCTACAGGTAGAGGCTGTAACTTTTACTTTTGCTGCAGTAAAGATGTGCACCTTAAAAACTGAGAGATTTCAAAAAGTCAAGAGGTATCGGATTTTACCAAAAATTACCTATGTTGGACAGCATTATTATTTGGTCAGATATACATTTCACATTGAATGTACTTCAAGATAAGAGACAAGATAATTCCAATGAAAATGTGTGTTTTAAGAAAATAAAATCATGACAAACAGCTAAAATCTTACCAAATTAATAATTTTCCTCTCGTTTGTTAAGCCAAAGCATTTTTAGAGGTGTGATACTACAGTTTAAACAAATGGCTTCTCTGACAAAGGTTTACATAAAGTGAGACCTATGTTTCCCCCTTGTTCTTACAGTAAACAATAGCAAAAACGGGGCTCAGCTCCTAATTCTCTCTCTATCCCACTACTGACCGAAACACAGGACAACTGGTTTAAACACTCTTCCCTGATATTTTGAGATTTGTTGTTTATATGCTATATTCACATTTGATTGACACTACTTGCCCCATTTTCTAAACAACCAAGTGTAGAAAGGGAAAGTAATTAAAATGAATTAAACCTCTACTTTGGGGAAAACGGCACCAACATATTTTCTGTGAAGAGCACTTAAATAACTTGAGATCTCTATACAACAATTGTTTAATAACTTTTCAAATGAGAATTGCTTAAAACAAATTATTTGTGGTGCCAATGAAACAGAAAGCCTTCAGCAGAGCCACACATCGACTAATTGTTCATTTGTAACTACAATGAAAGGGTTAAAAGATCCTCACTAACTCTGTCTGTACTAACTCAGTTTGGGCACCAAGTGAGACAGATGTAAACAGACATTTACTAACTAAATAACAGAATGTTTCACATTTAAATGTCCTCTTAAAATTCCCATGTTCAGCTGTTTCTATTGTTTTGAAGCAATACAAAAAAAAATAAACAGGAGCCATATCCGCAGAAAGCAAAGATGGAGAGAATGGTTCAAATAATATTTGACTAAATTAATTATCCTAAAAAACATAACTAGCAGATTAGTCGGCTACCCAAATAAATTATTAGTTGCAGCCCTTGTCATCACATTTACTAATCATGGATGAGAATGCCATGACAAGACTGAGCCATGGGCAGAATATGTGTAAATACATAAGAAAAATCTACTAAACTACTAAAATCTATATCTATATATATCATATATATGTTAAGCAGTGGTATCAACGCAGAGTACTGGGACAAAACAAACAGAATAATGAAGTACCTTACAATTCTTTAGCATCACCTCAAAGCATCAGCAAGGTTGCGGAAACATGTTTAGGGTCACTGTCCTGTTTAAATGTCTATCAAATGTGGCTGGAGAATGGATAAAACATGCTAAGCTTTTGAAATGGTCCTCAAATCCTGATCTAAAACATGGTGATGTCTGAGCCAGGAACTGAACAGCACACTATATTATTTTAGTGTAGTCATCACAATGTGTGCATGTACAGTAGTCACATTGCAGGACCTGGCAAGTTGACTCTCATGCATGGAAATAACATGGAGGAAAACGCGAACACGAGGCCAACTAAGCAACTTAAGTGCATCTTATACAAAGAATGAAATGTTCACTTTAACATAATATTATTTTAGATCTTAAACTCCAGCACTATCAACCTGTGCAGACAAGAAGAGGCTGTCAAATGTCTAATTAGCAAACACAAAACAAGGCAACCCAAGCCATTAAACAATATTAGAACAATTCTGCATAAGAAACATGTAAAGTTGTGATGCAAAAAAGGGAATTTTGTGAATTTTACACTTTACAAACCTTTTTCACTACTATGCTGTCTTTTAGGATGTGTCAAAATATAAACACATGGCTAGGACATAAGTCTCTTATTTTGTTTTGCATATTAATTAAGCATTTGCATATGAATTAGAATATGCAGTGGTGCCTCAATGGTTAGAGAACCAGGTTATTGATGACAGGGCTGTGGATTCAATATCCATATTCGCCAAGCTGCCACTTTCGGGCCCTTGAGCAAAGCCTCAATGCTCTTGGGTCACCACAGCTATGACTGCTCACCACTCCGAACATGTGTATGTTCACTACATAGACATCTGTACCAAGATGTCAAGATGTGGGGTACATCACCACCATGTATACAATCAACAAATGTAAGTAATGCTTTCAGCTGAAGGACATACACAGGGCTGTAAGGTTATGAACATATTTATATTTAACAGAAAACAATACATGAGCATCATCCATAGAAAAACCCTTTCCTTTTTAAAGACATTCATCACACTCCAACACCATTAGTTTATAATAAAATGGAAAAAAAAATAGAAAGAACCTTCTATGTACAAAATATGTCTCAGGCAATACTATATTAACGTATATATATGCATATGTAAATTTACCTGTGGACTGCTGATGGGACCATAGCCCACAGAAGGTGTCCCAGGTATGCATGGGGAGCCCATAGAAGAACTGATGACTGAAAAGGGTGATCCTATGCTACTAATGGGGCTGTTGACGGCTGATGAGATGGGAGGCAGTGAAGTCATGGCAGCTGCTGAAGGTGCAAATGGGGGTGAGTGCTGACCAGACGCTGGTGATGACACAGAAGAGCTGTCTGGACTGCGAGAATCTGGGAAGAAGAGAAAAAAAAAAAATCACAAAAATGAGTAGTGTCTTTAATTGAAGCCAAAACACACATCAATAGCTCCAAACGTGTTAATGTACTTCAACTGCTGTATTTCAGATCTGCAACACAATAAATAAAAAAATAAAAAAATAAAAATGAATAAAAAATTAAAACAATATAGACAGGGCAATTTAGATCTAGTAAGATGAAAAATAAATAATAAAATGTGATCAGCTAAAAAAAAGCAGCATCCACAAAGAGGCGTTTGAGGAGAAATAAAGGGCTAGTAATCTTTAGAAAATTATTAAAGTTATAAGGAGGAATTTTTGTGCATGAATGGTTAGGATATAATATCTAATATATAAAGCCTCGATATATAATCGCAGTAGTGGTGGTTATAACCATGTCTAAAATCGGCATTAATCTCTCTTACACAAACGGTTATCCGCAACATGTTCAAAAGCCAGGTATCGGGCTGTGTAAGTTAACTGGGCTATGGTACTTTTCTTGTAATTCTTACTTGTGCAAATTATGCTGTGGTGGCAGAATTAATGAAAACAAATCTATATGCTGCACATGCTACAAAAGGCATGGCTGTAAAATTTTAGAAACATAAAAAAAAATCCTGACAACCCTGTACTGTTGAACAGTTTCAGAGGTGTTTGCAAGAAGAATGGAACAAATCACACGTGAAAGACGCAATCGCTTGGCATCCTCAGTGCTAAAATGTATTTTAAATGTGCTGTGGGAATGAATGGCAACATTACAAGGTACTAAAGGCTTTACTGTCCAACATGAAACTGAGTAGATAAAACATTAAATATATTTGGTTTATAATGTCTGTACTCAAAGAAAATTCAAAGTAAATGCTCTCTGTACAGATAATAAACAAGAACCTATTGGTAACATGCTCCCCCCCCTCCAGTGAAAGTGTATTCTCTGGAATGATGGTGCTCCATCCAGTGCTTTTAGAATAAGTTGGAATGAGGTGGAAGTTGTGATCATTCACTACACTGACATCAGAACACTATTGTCATTGATTGTAATCAAATCCTCACAGCAATTCTGTAAAAAACAGCCAAAAAGCCTTTCCTCAACAGCGGTGATTTTTTTGGGTTGCACCAAAAAAGCAGAACACACTTTTTCCCCTAATGTCATTCATTTCTGAGGCAAAAATGAATGAGCTGGTGTCACAGTAGTTTTATCCATAAATGTGCAGATATGTATGCGTGTGTATTTGTGAGAGAAAATAAAAACAAACCACTCACCTCGACTGTCGCCCATGATGAACACCCAGCCCCCGTACGCGAACTGGCGCAGTGTATCACGCTGGAATCCCGGGTGCTTGCTCAACTCGAGACCGCGGATTGAGGCCCAGGCCCCTGCTGAAGTCGGTCAAAGAAACAGGTTACAAAACAAAAGAGGACAAACGCGTTAAGCGGACCCTAAAATATATTCGAAACTGAATCCAAATATGCCGTGTCTACAGCTACTATGCTAAAACAAGCTAATTTACCCGGCTACACTATGTAAATTAAGCCAACCTAGCTAGCCAACCTAGTCCTGAGCTGCTAGCTATATTTGCTTGTTGTCGTCGTCAGCCCAACGGCGCTCTAAAGCGCCTAACATGCAGCTTTCCAGCTCTGAAAAACAGCAGCTCAACAACAACAAGCTGTAAACGGAATTCCTGCAGAAAACAACAAACCAGAGGTTTACTCTAAATAATTCACCCCTCTCTGTAATGTTGATTAGCTAGCGTGCTAACTAACTAGCCTGCTAACAACTCCGGAGAAAACCATGAAACAAAAGCGCAAACTGAGCGACCAACCCACTATAATTCACCAGAACAGACACAGCGAGCTCCGTATTCACACAGAGAGATAAAGCAGGTAAATATGCAGATTATATAACATCAACATTCCCCCGCTTTACCTGAGAAAGAAAGGAAAACTGCGGGCTCGCTGTTCCTCCGCTCCCCCTCTCCCAGCTCGCCAGTCTATGGGCATGTATCTATCAGCGATCCTTCCTTTCTGAAGAGGAAACTCAACCTGTCCCCACCAGCTGCGCCACTGTGGCTCGATCACAGTCTGTAACTACAATTATATTAATTATACTGTATTATTTTCATAATGTAATACATTAAGGTAGTAATGTAACTATTTATTATAACTTACTATAACTGTAATGTGAGGTCCAGTTTTTAGAAAAAGTTGTTTATACTTATCTTACATGAATTATCTACTAAAGAAGTGACCTAATTTTGTGCTAGTTTGTTATTGTCTGTTAGTTTTCAATAATTGTTTAATGTGTCATTGTTTCATTATTTTTGATTTGTTCTGTAAAGTAAATTCTATGTTTTCTTATTTAATTGTGTAAATGTAAAAAATTTCCAATGGAAAAAAATGATTTAATATTATTTTACTGTGATTTTTTTGTTCATAAAGGAAAAAAAGGAAAAAATATATTGTAAAAAATCTTAGATAAAGTCTTAAAGATATCTTTTTTGCCAAACAGATGTAAAGAAAAAGTAACCCATATAGCAAAAGGACGCATAAGTATGTTTCAATGCATAAGCTATAGCAAAAGAATGTTGAATCTCCAACGTCAGAATTTGTGCTCATCATTTTTAACATTGATTCAACATGTATGATTTGTATTGATCTTTACTTACATGAAATATGTAAACATTATTTATATTCTGTTTTCTTTGTGTTCTTGCAGTGTAGAATATGTCTAAATAATAATTATTCATATTAATATTATTATTTATGCACCTTGTTCCTAAAAGCGTAGTTAAAAAAGGTGAATTGTTTAACCAACTTAAATAAATTGCTTCAATCAGTTACACATAATTGAATTATTTTTTTTCTAAATCAAGTTAACAATTTCTGTAACATGTGAAATCCACCGGAGATCCTATGTAAACCTATAGTTACACAGAGGTGGGTAGTCCAGGTCCAGAACATTGAAAATCCACCCCGGGGTTGGCAGAGACACAGTAGTGATAGAGGTAGAGAGAGAGACATAGCAGCAACAACACAATACAATGTTTTAAAATTTTTGATGATTACTCTGACTGTAGATAAGGGCATCTGCAGGTGAGTAGCTATTTTCTTCTGATTTATGAAGGTGTGTGACACCATATTTATACCCCAGGGAAACAGGAAGTGATGAATTACTAATTAAGGGGTTCTACCCCTTAATAAATGACCCACTTTATAAATTATCCACTGTAGAAACAACATAAATAGTGAAAAAACATTTATTTTGTAATTCATTGTTAGGGGTGCCAATAATTGTGGATATGGTCATTTTATTAAAAATTATTATTTCTTAGTCAGGATTTTTTTTATTAATTTGAGTTGAAGGTTGTTTTTTCTAGTTAAAAATTGAAGACAATTTTCAAGTGAGATTATGCTTCTGCAGTAAATATTACATTTATTTTAAGGCTTTTAACACATTTTAACTACGGGTGCCAATAATTATGGAGGGCGCTCTACCTAACTGATGTAATCACAGCAGCCCTGTTTCAGGTCAGGAGCAGAAAATGCCCCTTTCCATTAAAGCTTCTTTAACAGGCAGCCCAAGATGTAAGAACTACATCCATCGAAATATTACTTTATTCTTCATAATATTACGACTTTAACCTTTTTTAATTTTTTTTTAAGTGGCCATAAAAAGCCATTGTAGTTTTAAGAAACACAACTAACATGAATATAGGTCTAAAAACATGCTTTTACGAAACTAGATGTGTACTGCAAGCAAAAGTGAACACAATTTTCTAAAAAGTAAATGCTTGCTTCTGACAAAGTACATGCATTATTTTCTGCTAAATATTATTCAAAATCTGGGATTGGCTGCCCACACTTTAACATACAACTAAATAATAAATCATGCCTAATATGGTGAGACAAACAGATCAATTTTATTTGTAAGTCTGTTTATGTCTTCTTGCCAAAACACATACACAAAAACACCATCATGCAGAAAAGTTCTCAGATTAGGAATAGATGGAATTTGTCAATAACCTTAAACAGATCTACTGAACACTAAACATGCAGTATCACCAGGATTACGCCAATATAAATATAGAAGGCATATAGAAGCTGGACACAACCAATTTGTACATATCTGCATAAAAGCACAGATTCATTTTATTTGTCAGAAATAACAAAACGAAACCTTATTTTGAGTTAAAGAACATACAATATACAACAGACCTCAAAACACTAGATTTATTTAGAACTACCAGTACTGAAGCACTTCATGATGAGTCTGATTGGAGCAGAGTACACTTCAAAAGCATATTACTGATAAATGTGTAGGAGGCCTCAAATGTTAAAGTGCATGGGTGTTTAATAGGAACGGATGGCAGGAGGAATAGCAGCACAGTCTTCATTGTTCAGAGAGTCATCAATCACAGGCCTGTATTCCAGAGTGACCTGCAACATAAACAAAATGTTTCACTGAATTAACTGGAAAATCTGACATCAGTAAATGCAGTAATTCAGGTTGTTTATTATTTATTCTCAGAAAAAAAAACAGCATTCAATTAATTAGAAAACAACATACACTTTTTTTCAAAACATTTCTACATCAATATACCGTACTTAAAGTTCTTTAATTTTCCCAAAATTGTCAGTGCACCGTATAATTTGGTGCGGTTCATGTATGAATTTTATCAGTCAAGTTGTAAGGAGCAGTAACTCCACTCTGCTGAAGCACCGCGTTATACAAGAGTTTCAGTTTAGTTCTCCAGCACTGGGGCTGTAGTAGCATTAGCTGCTAAACACGCTAAACGCTAGCTCTTTTGGCATTCAGAGGTGAGTACATCAGACTGTAGTCTGCACGTTTACCATGTTAAAACAAGCTACGTGGGATGAACGGCTAGCTAAAATCACCCTTGCTTACCGGAACACTAGGGGTTCCTCAGTTAGCTGCTAATGCTCCAGCCTTAGTGCTGGAGAAATTCAGGAATCTAAGCTTACTGTAAATAAACGGAAGCGCTCTACTCACCCAAATAAACAGTTTTCAGGAGAGAAATCTGTGTAGATTAACATCCAGTGCCCATTTTACTTCAAAAGAAAGTCTTTTTTTTATTAGTTTTGTTAACTTAACTTAGCTTTACTTAACTTAGTTACCCCCCACCACCACACAGCGGCGAGACCTGCTGAATTAGAAGTTCCTTACAGTGTCTCTTAAAATGAAACTAATAATACAGTGCACCTTATGTATGAAAATAGACCAAAAAACATACGTTCATTGATAGTGTGCCTTATAATCCGGTGTCCCTTATAGTGCACAAAATACGATATGTATATAATCCAGTGGATAACTTCTGTCAGGAATAAAAGTACTGTGTATGTACTTTTGTTCAACAGTGCAAATTTAACCTCAATGGTACAACAATCCTTTTAGTCTAAATGCATCCCCTAATAACAAATTTTTTTTTTTGTATAAATATTTGTCCTAAATATAGGACAAATATTTAAAAATAAAGATTTTAAAAAGCAGTATACCTTTCCTGTTTTAGGATCTACATAAGAGAGTGTGTGCTTCCTCCAGTGCTGCTCAAAAGGCTTCTTCTCTTGTCCCTGTAGGGGCTTGGAGTAATCATACTCATCCACACGTTCCTATAACAGACCAGACACACAATCATCTTACTTCTGTACCTTGAGTTTTGGCACTTATTTGAATACAATTACAGATTCATAACACAATGAATAGTTGCTTTGAAGACATGCATGGTGAAAACATGACTTGAATTAAACTTGCCTTGAAATCCTCACGGGCATGAGCCCCCCTGCTTTCTTTGCGGGCCTCAGCTGCGTTGATAGTCTGCACAGCATTGAGCATCAGGTTCTGGAGCTCTAAAGTCTCCACCAGGTCAGTGTTCCAAACAATACCTGGTTAAACAGAACACAAGTAAAGGTTGTGAATCATTTATTTCAGGTACGTTATAGCTGTGCTCCAAACTAACAAATATATATTACACACTATATAGCTTATGCTCTTTAATTTAATGTGTATAGCACTGCAGCTCCAGTATGTTGACAGTATGTTTAATTTCAAGTTTTTAATTCCAAAAAGTACTCTGCGTTGATACCACTGCTT